AAACTGAACAAAAATAAGGGGCATGTTGTCTAGATGCCCAAAATCCATGTGCTTAGGGGACAGAAGTAATAGGTGAATGATAAAGCAAATACATTTCCTTTAAACTTTCCTGTGCTATGCTGCCTACTTTGCTTCTTGTTCTTTATATTCAGGGCATTGAAATCTTATGTTGCTGCTGTCTGTTGAAGGCAGTCATTTTTCAGTGATTGATTATTTTTAGAAGTTACCCAAACATTTTGTATGACATTTATGTGATTATGGGGTTTGGTTTTTGCTCTCAATTTAAAATGAAAAGGCTAACTTTGTCCTTTACCAACTTTAATTAGTTTTATGATAAAAAAGGTTCCTAGGAGTAGGTAAATAAGAATAAACATTCATTATGAAATACATACCTCCTCTGTGCCCTCTTTTGGTAGCAGAAGTTGCTGTCCTGAAGGCAGCAATTTATTTAAAAAAGCATCTGGGGTTTAGTTTTTAATTACTGATCAGGAAAAATACCTAAGAAAAGTATGACACACCAAAAAGCTATCTTTGCTGGCTATAGTACTCAGGTGTTCACTAAATAGCTTCTGTTTAGAGATCAAACAGACAAATGTGGTATTTGATTTGATGGAGGTGCATTCAGGTGTCTGATTACTTACCAATCCAGTTTAATGTTCTCAGACTACATGAAGATTTTCCGTCTTGTTTTATATGAGATGAAATAAAGCCACAGTTGATTACAGTTTCTGAATTGACCACATGCCAATTATACTGAAGGTTTAGAAAAGGTAATGAATAGCTCATTGACTGTGTCTGTTTACTGTGCACTGTGCATTGATTTCTGGTTTGTTAGAAAATTTCATGCATCAGCACTGGAACCACTAGACATAGTGTTCTCAGAGGAGCCCGAGAGTGCTATGGGTCAATAATTGAACCGTATACTGTACATATTCTACTTAGTTCAAATTAATCACTATGAACCAATTTCAGGCCTGGCATAAGTGTGTGAAACAGCAGGACTTGTTTTTGATGAAAGCTTTATTAACGTACTAGGATATCTTAAGAGTTTGTGTCATATTTCTGTTTGAGTTTCTAAAAAGTATAAAGTCTTCTTCTCTATTCCATCCATTGCAATATTAGGTAGGTCTTTCATTTCAATTGATACTTAGTGATTTCAAGTTCACTTTTGAATTGAGGTGCTGAAATTTTGATGTACTGAAAGCTCCCTCGAGACTTTTGCACATTAAAGGCCATGAAAATCTTTCATAGGCTGGTTTTTAGGTGTTAAAGCCAAACTGATCACGCTGACCCAACTGTATCTTGGAATGTGACAAAACACAAGGTTGCCTTCTTACCTTTTGTATGTGTTAATTCCTTGAATTGTTCAGCTGATTGTCAGAGAGGATTTCTTGGTAATCGGTTTCTTTGGTCAGAGTATCTGCATCTGATACTGTTTAAGATACCTTTCATGCACGCTATTGGAGATTGTTACAGCCATTTGATGTCTTTTAGAATAACTTAATACTATGCACTTTCTACTTATTGTTCAAACTGCTTAGCGTTGCCACAAATGGTCTGCAGTGAACATAGTATTCTATGCAAAGTCCTAAAAAAGGCTGTTAAATGGCTGCTATAGTTTTCTACATATGAGAGTATTTATTAACTTTTATGGTATCAGGGGAAAAAAAAATCAGTATTTGTACAAGAATTAACAGCATCTCAAAGTGTGTAACAGACAAGAGAAGATGGTGCAAGAAAAGAACTATATCATGCGTGAAGCTCATGTTTGTTCTAGCTTAGTCTTGTACTTTTTATCCAGAATAGTGGCCAAAAATACAACCACTTCATGAATACTTTATTAAGAATGGAATGATTGAGATGTCCCCTTTGCTTCCAAGTCATCATCAGGCAGAGATTGAATTTCAGAGGTGGAGCATTCACCTGCACCATGCGTAGCATTTTGTAGCTTCCAACTGTGATGTCAGGATTTTTAGTTTCAAGAGATTGTCCAGGAAAAGGACTGACGTACCTGAAAAAAGCACATTACCAGGACCAAGGCCACCAGATCAGTCACATTAACAACTGCTCTGAATAAAAAAATGTTTTCTTGTGTTTGATGGCTCCTGCACCCTCAAGGGATGAAGATCATAGTATACAGTTCACTTCATGCAGCAAATCTAAATCCTGATCCTACATTTGATTTGTAGCCGTGTTTAGTTAGGTATATGCACTAACCATTAATTCAATATCCTTCTTGCCATTAATTTTCCCCTTGCTACCTCTACTTTACTTACAACTTCTGCTAAATGTATGCTAACCTACATCAATCTAATCATGTAAGCCAAACGTTCAGACTTTTTATAGTGAAGTGCTCATGAGCAACATCAAACTTCCCTTATTTAAAACCAAATTTATTTTTTTTTCTCATGCATATTTTAAATGCCTATGTAATCTCTGTCCAGTACAGGTACTCAGCAAGGTAAGGTTTAGACTTCTTTACTGTCTAAGCTTTTAAAGCTGTTTATACTTCTCACATGCATAAGATACTGTGGCAATTTTGCAGAAGTCTGTAAATCACCATGTGCTTTTAAAATTTATTAATTTTATGTTGTGCTGTTGTATTATCACATGATAATAATTTCATGCTCCTCTTTTCTGTCTATTCTGCTGTCATGATTTAAGCCCAGCTGGCAACCCAGACCCATGCAGCCACTCCTCCTCCTTCCTCACCACGCTCCCGGAGGGATGGGGAGGAGAATTGAAAGAATGTAACTCCCACGAGTTGAGATAAGAATAGTCCAGTAACTAAGGTATAACACAAACCACTACTGCTACGACCAGTAATAATAATAATAAGGGAACTAACAAGGGAAGAGAATACAAGTGCTCACCACCCACTGACCGATACCCAGCCCAACCCAAGCAGTGATCTAGCCCTTCTGGGTAACTGCCCCCAGTTTATATACTGGGCATGACATGCTGTGGTATGGAATACCTCTTTGGTTAGTTTGGGTAAGGTGTCCTGTCTCTGCTTTGTCTCGGCTTCCCCTCCTCCCTGGCAGAGCATGAGACTCAGAAAGTCCTTGGTCAGGGTAAACATTACTGAACAGCAACTAAAAACATCGGTGTTATCAGCGTTGTTCCCAGGCTGAAAGTCAGAAACATAGCACTGCACCAGCTACTTAGGAGGAGAAAAATGACTGCTACTGCTGAACCTAGGACAATATCCACCCCTTATTCCATACTATTCACGTCATGCTCAGATCTCACATTTTTCAATACACCATCACTCTTGTCTCATATGTATACATACACACACACACAAGGAGAGAGATATCATTCCTTAGTGTGTGGACCAATCGCTATAAAGCTGCTGAGTTCATCCAGTCCATGATGTTGGGCTCCATCTCTTGTAACAGTCTTTCAGAGCAGGAAAGACAGTGTGCAGTGTTGGATTATTGCCTGCTGATGACACCACAGAACTCGTCTGGTCACTGCTGAGCTCATCTGGTTTTGTCATTCTTTGTTGGAGTGATGGTTGGTGGGAGGTCAGGGCTAGTCGCTGGTGACCTGAAGATATCTAGTTGGTGGGCTATGAAAGTGCTACATAGCAGGCAACAGTATGCAACTGTGTTCATTGGCTGTTTTCCCCTAAAACCAAATCCCCTTGAAGTACACATCAGACTTCCCCATCTTCCCACATTACCCACCAAGTGTATCCAGGTCCCTGAGCAAAAGCAATCCCACGAGTGGGTTTGCCTTTACCTGAAGCAGGAATTACCCAGACTGTCTTCCCCAGCAAATTCTTTATGCGCACCACAGGAACTTTATCCCCCTCTACAGTATGTAAAAGTTCTGACTGGGCTGGTCTAGCCCTGTTGGCAGATCCTCTGGTGTTGACCAACCAGGTGGCTTTTGGTAAGTGTGTATCCCAATGTTTGAAAGTCCCACCACCCATTGCTCTCAATGTAGTTTTTAACAGCCCATTGTACCAATCAATTTTCCCAGAGGCTGGTGCATGGTAGGGGATGTGATATACCCACTCAATGCCATGCTCTTCGGCCCAAATATCTGTAAGGTTATTCCGGAAATGAGTCCCATTGTCTGACTCAATTCTCTCTGGGGTGCCATGTCGCCACAAAATCTGTTTCTCAAGGCCCAGGATAGTGTTCCAGGCACAGCATATGTTTCCAGACATCTGGTGTTTGCTTCCACCATGGTAAAAGCACATGGCGCTTGCCTTGGTGGGTTGGTGGGAGTGTGATATAATCAGCCAGGCCTCCCCATATTTATACTTCAACCATCGTCCTCCATGCCAAACAGGCTTTAACTGTTTGTCTTGTTTAATTGCAGCACATGTTTCACACTCATGAATAACCTGGGCAATAGTGTCCATTGTTAAGTCCACCCCTTGATCACGAGCCCATCCGTATGCTGCATCTCTGCCCTGATGGCCTGAAGTGTCATGGGCCCACCGAGCCAAAAATAATTCACTTTTATGTTGCCAATCTAAGTCCATCTGAGCCACTTCAATCTCAGCCGCTTTATCCACTTGTTGGTTGTTCTGGTGTTCCTCAGTGGCCCGACTCTTGGGTACATGGGCATCTACATGACGTACCTTCACCATCAGGTTCTGCACCCGGGGCAGCAATATCTTTCCACAGTGCAGCAGCCCAGATGGGTTTACCTCTGTGTTGCCAGTTGCTCTGCTTCCATTTCTGCTACCACCCCCACACGGCATTTGCCACCATCCATGAGTCAATATAGAGATAAAGTACTGGCCACTTTTCTCATTCAGTAATGTCCAGGGCCAGCTGGATGGCTTTCACCTCGGCAAACTGACTCGATTCACCCTCTCCTTCAGCAGTTTCTGCAACTTGTCGTCCAGGACTCCATACAGCTGCCTTCCATCTCCAATGCTTTCCCATAATATGGCAGGACCCATCAGTAAACAAGGCGTATTTCTTTTCATTTTCTGACAGTTTATTATATGGTGGGGCCTCTTCAGCACGCACCACCTCCTCCTCTGGTGATATTCCAAAATTTTTGCCCTCTGGCCAGTCCATGATGACTTCTAGAATTCCTGGATGACTGGGATTTCCTATTCGAGCTCGAACTCCTTCATAGGTTGCCAGTATCTCTTTCTCAGCTGGGGTATAGCTGGCCTCAGATCCTCTGTATCCCCGACTCCAAAAGCTGAGGCGTTATCTCCCATGAAGCTTTCTGCCGGAGGCTCCAGGTAGGACCGTGCTCCCTGGCTGCAGTGTACAGTATGTTTATCACATCTGGCCTGGTCTGGACTGGTCCAAGGGCTAGTGCATGAACTACCTCTCGTTTAATTTGCTGAAAGGCTTGTTGTTGCTTAGGGCCCCATTTAAAATCATTCTTCTTTCAGGTCACATGATAGAGAGGGCTTAAAATCAAACTGTAATTTGGGATGTGCATTCTGCATTACCCCGCTGCGCCTAAGAAAGCTTGCATTTCTTTCTTATTCGGTGGAGACATTGATATTATCTTGTTGATCACATCTGTGGGGATCTGGCAACATCCATCTTGCCGTTTTATTCCCAAAAATTGAATCTCCTGTGCAGGTCCCTTGACCTTACTCCGTTTTATGGCAAAACTGGCCTTTAGCAGGATTTGGATTATTTTCCTCCCTTTCTCAAAAACTTCTGCTGTATCGCACCCCACAATAATGTCATCAATGTATTTCAGGTGTTGTGGAGCTTGCCTCTGTTCCAGTGCAGTCTGTAACAGTCCATGGCAGATGGTAGGGCTGTGTTTCACCCCTGGGGCAGTCAGTTCCAAGTGTGCTGGATGCCCCTCCAAGTAAAAGCGAACTGTGGCCTGCACTCTGCTGCCAAAGGAATTGAGAAAAATGCATTGGCAGTATCAGTTCTGGCATACCACTTGGCTGCCTTTGACTCCAGTTCATACTGAAGTTCTAGCATGTCTCGTACGGCAGCACTCAATGGTGATGTGACTTCATTCAGGCCACGATAGTCTACTGTTAGTCTCCATTCTCCATTAGACTTTCGCGCTGGCCATAGGGGGTTATTAAAGGGTGAGCGGGTCCTACTGATCACTCCTTGACTCTCCAGTCTACAGATCAGCTGATGCATAGCAATCAGAGAGTCTTGGTTTGGTGTGATATTGCTGCCGGTGCACTGTTGTGGTCACGACTGGCACTTGTTCTTCAACCTTCAGCAACCCCACAACAGAAGGATCCTCTGAGAGACGAGGCAAGGTGGACAGCTGCTTAATTTCCTCTGTTTCCAAAGCAGCAACACCAAAAGCCCATCGGTACCCTTTTGGGTCTTTGAAGTACCTTCTCCTGAGGTAGTCTATGCTAAGGATGCATGGAGTCTCTGGACTAGTCACGATGGAGTGCTTTAGCCACTTCCTCTCAGTCAGGCTGATTTCAGCCTCCAGCACAGTCAACTCTTGGGATCCTCCTGTCACTCCAGAAATATAAATGGGTTCCAGCCCTTGACAGCTTGATGGCATCAGGATACACTGTGTACCGGTGTCTACTAGAGCTTTATACTTCCATGGGACTGATGTGTCAGGCCATTTGATCCACACAGTCCGGTAAATCTGATTGTCCTCTACCTCCAGCTGGCTGGAGGCAGGGCCCCTCCAATAGTGATCACAATATTGTTCAGTTACATCTGGTAGACAGGGATTAGTCTTCTTTATCAAAGAAACTGGAGTAAAATCAGCTCTTCCATTCCATCTGGGAGCCTGCTCACCAGAGATCTGGAAACCTGCTCACCAGAGACTGAAGATGCGGCTTTCATGGGATGATCATCCTTGACCCTTGTTCTCTTCAATTGATGCACCCGTTTCTCCAGAGCTGAGGTAGGTTTTCCATTCCACTTTCTCATATCTTCTCCGTGATCCCACAGGTAAAACTGTAGGGTGGCCCGTGGCATATACCTCCTGTATCTTCTGTCTCGAACAGTAAGACACCTTTTGTTAATAGCTGAGATGTGGGTTGGCACATGTGGATAGATTGGATAGATCATCTCTCAATTGTTTGAACTCCTGAGACAGTTTTTCCACAGCTGAAGTGTGGAAGGGGTGAGATTGTCTTCCAGCTCTCAGAGTTTATGAATCATTTCATCCACTGTTGGTGGTACTATGTCTTTCTGGATTACTGCTGCCAGTGAGTGAGCATATGATGACGGTGGATTCCGTGTAAATTTCCTCCATATGGGTCGTGTACATTTGACTTCATCTGGATCTATGGATGTGCTCCCAGCATCCGACGTATAATAGATTGTCTCTACAATGGCTGATTCCCTCAGAGACTGGATGCCTTTGTCTAAAGTAGTCCACTTGGCCGAATGACTCATAACATCATCCTTGTATGGAAACCTTTCTTTCACAGCTGCCAAGAGCCGCCTCCAAAGGCTGAGGGGCTGTTTGTCTTTTGCAATTGCTTTGCCAATTCCCCCTTCCCTAGCAAGTGATCCCAGCTGCTTGGCTTCCCTACCTTCTAGTTCGTGACTATCGGCCCCATTGTCCCAGCGTCGGAGCAACCAGGTGATGATGTGCTCCCCTTGTTGATGGGTAAAATCATTTCACGTGTTCCGTTGCTGAGTTGAGGTCTGAGGTCAAGAAGTCACCTGTTCTTCTTCCTCTGATTCACCTAATAATAACTCCTGATGAGATATTGTCCTGTGTAGTAAGTGCATTGTTTCTTCATCTTGTTTCTTCATCTTTCTTGCCTCATTTTTGCTTTTCCCCTTGTTTACAGGGGCAACCGATATTGGCACGAATTGGTCCTCTGGTTTAACTGCAGTGATTGTCATTGTGGTTGGAGTGGCTGTAGTATCTGTTGTCGGGGCTGGTGCAGCCACTGTGCTTGGGGTTTTAATAGCACCAGCAGCTGTTCTGTCTGTTGAGTTCAGAGTTTTGAGTAGCTGCTTGTACTTGTCACTGGGGCTGGTGTAGCTGCTGTGCTTGGTGCTGGAGTAGCTGTGCTGTCTGTTGCGGTCAGAGTTTAAGTAGCTGCTGTACTTGTCGCTGGGGTTGATGTAGCTGCTGTATTTGGAGTTGGGGTAGATGCACTGACTGTTGCTTTGCCATTAGATCCAAAGACATTTTTGTCCCTTTGAAGGTGCTGGATAGTGTTGAGCAGGGCTCTGTAAGCATAGGCCAAGCCACAGCACGTTGCCATGATTTGTCCCACTCTGGTATGACCAGGATGACAACACACCTCATTTAAATGTCTTACTAATTTTTCTGGATTTTGCATTTGTTCACTGGTGAAGTTCCAAAGCACTGGAGGGGCCCACTGGCCTAGATACTTGCCCATACTATCCCATACACCCTGCCACTCATGACTGTCCAACCCTGGGGAAAATCTCTTGGTCCTCCTATATCGTCGTGTAACCCTAGAAAAGACCCAAACCCAACTCTGCTTAACTTTCAAGTTAAGACAAAATGGTTGTGGGTGAAGCACACTCTGTATGTGTGCCAATATGGTGATCCCCATCACAGTCAACAGGCAGGTCTCAAGGGTACCCAAAGGCCATTCAAAACCTTCAGAAGTCTCAAATGATGCTGTAAATAGTCTGTTGGGGGGGCTGGGAACTTAAGGGAATGTCTCCTTCATAGGTTGACCACCTGAGGAGCAGAAAAAAGATGTGTAATTGCTAAATACTTCTATTATATATACTCCCAAAGTATAGAGGTAGTGACCACACTGGCAACGCAAGCCAGATCAGTTTCATGATCAATGAGTCTATTGTATTACAAGTCAGTACCATAAAGTGCAATGAGACAAGAACCTTAGCCCAGGCCCCCCAGCCGATAAACACTGAAACAGCAAATACCAGCTGTAAGTAAGGTATGACATGCTGAAATTGTGAGATCAAGAGCAACAACTTCGAGAGCCAATAAATCAGCATTGTGACAAGTGACTATTAATCCAAAAAAAAATGAATGCTTATCACAAATACGATTAGACACACTCTGGTCAGATCTGTCGTTATTTCAACCCTTTGTGGCCCACGTTGGGTGCCACAAAGAACTGTCATGGTTTAAGCCCAGCCCTTCCCCCCCCCCCCCCCTTCCTCCCCCCTCTCCTGGAGGGATGGGGAGGAAAATCGAAAGAATGTAACTCCCACGGGTTGAGATAAGAACAGTCCAGTAACTAAGGTATAACACAAACCACTGCTGCTACTGCCAATAATAATAATAATAAGGGAAATAAGAAGGGAAGAGAATGAAACTGCTCACCACCTGCTGAATGACAACCAGCCCGACCCAAGCAGTGATATAGCTCTTCTGGGTAAGTGCCTCAAGTTTATGTACTGGGCATGACATGCTGTGGTATGGAATACCTCTTTGGTTAGTTTGGGTAAGGTGTCCTGTCTCTGCTTTGTCTCGGCTTCCCCTCCTCCCTGGTAGAGCATGAGATGCAGAAAGTCCTTGGTCAGGGTAAACATTACTGAGCAACTAGTAAAAACATCGGTGTTATCAGTGCTGTTCCCAGGCTGAAAGTCAAAAACATAGCACTGCACCAGCTACTAAGGAGGAGAAAAATGACTGCTACTGCTGAGCGCAGGACATGTGTGTTTTATCTCCTAGATTTCTTCTGCTTTGACTATTTAGCCTTGAGAAAAAATGGCTCAGTGGGGATCTCACTGATGTGTATATGTCTGAAGGGAGGGTGCGAAGAAGATAGAACTAGGCGTTCAGTGATGTCCAGTGACCAGACGAGAGATAACTGAAACTTCCTTCAATTGAAAGGTATATTTCTTGTTAAGGCACATAACACTGAAAGTAATTAAAGGATTATAAGTAATATAAAGAATGACATGAGTATGGAGAAAGGTAAACGAATGATGTGTAACTAACTGTACAGCTTACAGAAATGCCTAGTAATATCTTAAAACAACAGAGAAAAAAATGCTCAGAATATCTAAATCAAAGTAGAAGGAGTGGAAAATCATGATACAAAGTTGAGGGAAAACAGAGAAGCCTGTAGTTAACAGACCTCACAGAAGACAATGAAGTGTATTGCATAAGGAAGCCACAGCCGTTGCACAATTTATAAATACGGTGTGGAATCCAAAAGCACAATAGACCCTGAAAA